TATATGTATATATGTATGTATATATATGTATATGTATATATGTATGTATATATATGTATATATGTATGTATATATGTATGTATATGTATGTATGTATGTATATATGTATGTATATGTGTATATGTATATGTGTATATGTATGTATATGTATATATGTATATGTATATATGTATGTATACGTGTGTATATATACGTATATATGTATATATATGTATACGTATATATGTGTATATATATATATGTATACATATATATACGTATATATACATAGATTTCAGTTTTTCTTTTTTAATAAATTTGCAAAAATTTCTACATTTCTGTTTTTTTCTGTCAAGATGGGGTGCTGAGTGTACATTAATGAGAAATAAAATGAACTTTTTTGATTTTTAGCAAATGGCTGCAATGAAACAAAGAGTGAAAAATTTAAAGGGGTCTGAATACTTTCCGTACCCACGGTTGAGAATTGATGCCACACCTAGTTCAATTGGAATTTGTTTGTGGTTCATTCACAGGTCCTTGAATGACTAGGCTGAAAGCTACACAAAGACTAAAACTGTTTACTCCCAGATTGTATTATCTTTCCTAAACTTTTGCTACAGACCGATGTAGGCCAGCAGCTTGGTGGCTCAGTGTCCATTGTTGCTTTACAATATGGTTCAACAAAGTGTGTTGTTGTCGTGTCAGGTCCGCAGGCAGCATATGGACCGCTGCACCAATTTCCTGGTGGATGAGTTGGGTGTGGTAGACCGAGCCCAGGCCAGTGACCGCATCTTCTTCGTCTCTGCCAAGGAAGTACTTCAGGCTCGTGTACAGAAGGCTCAAGGGATGCCTGAAGCAGGTGGGAATGCTAGTCAGTGTGGATTCTGATGGCGTTTATGCAGTCATGAAAAACCTTGAATTTAAAATCATGAACGGTTTTGTGAAACGTCATGGAAAACAGTTTCATAGATATTTTAATGTGGTTCATTGAAGTTCAGCTTTAAACGTAAATCTTGTATTAACAATACAATGCTAGAGTAGACAAACCATCACTCAGGTCATTGATGATCACTGGTGTACTAGGCCACAGTGACGTTGTCTTGTCTGGAGTGACATACACATGGATTATCCATACCATAGCTTTTAAAAGAACACACTAAATGTGGACTGTGGAAAAATATTCCCCAGTTTTCTACAGTATTACTTATTGTTGTTCTGTTTCAGGTGGAGCTCTTGCTGAGGGATTTCAAGCCAGAATGTTTGAGTTCCAGAACTTTGAGAGGCGATTCGAGGTAAGACCTGCATGCCTGTACCAACTCTGAATGCGATTATAATAGGTCACAGATTTTAATACTAAGTTACATTTAACAGAAAGTCATCCCCCAGTTATGCTTACTTCCATGGTCTTCCATTTCATTTATCACTGTGACATCCATGACACTCCAGCATTGATGGCTGTGGGCGAGCAGTTTCCCTATGCATCCAGTATATATTATTGTTATTTAGCTTTTATTTCACGACACTTTCTGACTGAGCAATTATGTTATTCCTTGTGTAAAATTACAAAATAATCCAGATATCAAAAGTTACTTTTAGTTTGACTTTGAGTTGTGACTGCAGTGAGTCAGGCAGCCCATCCATTGAGTTGATGTGTGGATTGTTGGCCTGTCTGCTGCTCTGTGTAGGAGTGCATCTCCCAGTCAGCGGTGAAGACCAAGTTTGAGCAGCACACAGTGAGGGCCAAACAGATCTCTGAAGCCCTGCGCCGCATTATGGATTCTGTACACATTGCTGCACAAGAGCAGAGGTGAGTCAGGTATTAAAAGGAGATTGTACAAGTGCATGGATTGAGACAGTATGTGAAACAAAGACTGGAAACAAATGTGATCATCTTCCCTCAGATGCCTCTACACTGTTAAATAACATCTGGATTGCAGGATTGACAGTTAGTTTGGACTTTAAACACTCTTCATCCAGAGATGGGATGATTGGAGAAATAATTAAAATAAATAGTTTAATTGCAACAAAGACACCATCTTCAATGTACAACGTTATCAAATAGCATTCGGCTATGTGTGTGTTGGTAGAATCTACTGCTTTGAGACCAAAGAGGATCGTCAGGACCGATTGGAGTTTATAGACAAGCAGCTAGACTTGTTGACCATGGACTGTAAAGCCAAGATCAAGAAGATTACTGAGGAGGTGGAGAGACAGGTGAACCCCAACATGACATCATAACATACCTGCCTTTTTAGCAGCTGCATTGAAACAGCTGGACTTTAGTTCCTGAATCTCAATGGTGATTTGTGAAATGATGGAATTGTGGAATCTAATTATTTCCTCACTTATCAAATAAAAGTCAAAACTTTTTTTAGTCAAAAAACAACTTCAATATCAAGTTTATTTTCAAGTTCTGTTTCACTTGGTTCAACAGAGGGAAAGTTTTCACTCCTGCTGTCTGCTCATGTTCAGGTGTCCAATGCCATGTCAGAGGAGATCAGGAAGCTTCATGTGCTGGTGGATGACTACCACATGGACTTCCACCCATCACCAGTGGTGCTCAAGGTCTACAAGAATGTGAGTTTGAAAAAGATATTCAACAGAAATCGTTGACCTTAATGTGAGCTTCACAGGGCTGGCTGAAACTGAGGCCCCGCCTTCTGTCTGTCTAGTTCAGGGGTCGGCAACCTTTTCTATCCAAAGAGCCATTTTGTCCTATTTTCCACCAAATAAAATTCGTCTGGAGCCGCAAAAGCTATTTGATATCACAGCTGTGTATATATAGTTATATTATATATACAAAAACTATAGTTTGTTGTATTTATGGAAATATAGAACAAGAATAAAGATGATTCTTGAATTCTTTTTGCAATTTTACCTGATATAACAATATCAAACTCTTATGAAGAGGAGAGTTTGCTGCAGCAGCAGAGAAATCGCTCTTTGTTGCTCATCTCCAGCGTGACACTTTTCAGCACATGCTGTGTGCTTGTTGTGGAAGCATACAGGTAAGCCAGCATCGTTGGCAGTGAAAGCAAATGAAGACGTCCACGCAGAGTTAAACTCTCTATTTTCCTCCGTGACTTTTCTTTTTTTGGATTTATCCATTGATAGTTTACTGAGGGCGGGGGTCTGAAAATCATGATTAGCCACCTGCAGGGAAAAGCACTTGACAGAGGTAGAGGAGTTAACTGCCTGTGGGAATAATTAACATATAAGAGTCTGTTCCTTCTTGCTTATAAATTATGTTATCTCTGAACATGTTTCTCTTTTTGGAGAACGTCATGTGAGATAACTTCTTCGATTGGCACAATTTCCCTGCTCTTCTTTCTATTTCCTCGTCTCAGCCCCGTGTGTCACGTGTGTGTGTGTAAACCTCGCTCGAGTCAGGAAACTTGTCAGAATATCCATATTTGATTGGCTGAGCTGCATCACGTGATGTGATTTACAACGCATTGGTCGGCGTGTTTCTTGCACCGCTGAACAAATGCCATGAAAAAGCTGTGCCGGTTAAAATAGAAGCGCTCCGTCAAAGTAAAATCAGTTTTAGGTCCTGGGTCGGGATACAACGGCATCTGGGTCCGGATCTGGACCGCGGTCCGCCTATTAGTGACCCCTGCTCTAGGGGGTTTAAGGAGTATGCTCCGCCAAAAGAAAATGTTGTACAATAAAAAGTTAAATATATCCATCTGGTGCAATTTAAAGTTGTATGAATAAATCCTGTGCAATATGTGAACAAAATTTAAGAGGCAGAACTATGAAGAACGTTGTGCTTTTGTAAACAATTTTGTGCTCTAGCAGTGGATGTAGCAAGGTACATTTAGGCTACTTAAGTACAATTTGAGGTACTTCTACTTGTGTATTTCCGTTTTATATAACTTCTACTCCACTACATTTCAGAGGAAAATGTTGTACTTTAACCACTACAATTATTTGATAATATTAGTTACTAATACAATACAATACTAGTACAAAATATAAATCCACTAATTAACAAAGATGTATTGTTAAGTTGTACATAATCTAATCAAGTATATAAAGTCGATAAAATAAGCTTCTCCTTCACCAGCTTCAAATGAACGAGTAGAAGTGGTGCAACGGATCATGAAACTCACGGTTCAGATCTTATCACAGATCACAAATCGGATCAGCACAAAAGAAAAAAAGGAGCAAATATAAGTTTCAGAGATCACTGATCATGTGTCTCTTTGCCGCTGATACGAACTGATCATTGATGATCGATATTAACAGATACAGATCCCTTTGTTTGATTATAGCAGCTGGTCTACAAGGATCCAGACTATTTCTTTCTTTATGCCACCGTCCCAAAAATACTTTCAACCACTCTGAAGTCTGTAAACCTTCAACTATTCAAAATGTTATCCTTTTACTTTGTTAAAGTTATTTATAGTGTTTTTTCAGAAAGGCACACAATTCAAATGATTAGGAAATAAAAGATCGTATTTTCTTTGATTAAAAACAAATCTTGTCGTTATTAGTTTTAATGATTATCGGAGCTAGTGTAAACAGGTTATAGTTCCCTCTAATATCTATTTATGTTGCTGTGAAAACATCTTCAAACAACTGGATTCATTCAAGTTTCTCACCAACATACATTCTACAAGATTACACGTGAACACATCATGATAACGGTATGATTTACCTTCGCTCAATACTGATTTTCACCGAACAGAGCCTGAACGCATCACAATGGAACCTTGGTCCGTTGTCCATTAGCCACTTTACCAGCTCTCCTGCGGTCATTTTCAACCCGGATTGGCTGTTTACAATGTAACATTATCAGAGATCGGCCAAGAGAAAGCATCAATGATGTCCTGATCGCATATTTTACTGAACATTGGCGGATAACGATGTCAGTAAAACTTCATTTCACACTGTGATGGCGAAGGTAAACCGTCATTAATCCACGGTTCACATGTGTGCAGGACTTTCTTGTATTACTTACTTGTACCAATTGTTGTACCTTACAATGTGCTCCAGTAAACAATTTAATCATGATGTCACGGCAAAGAGTCCCACTTCCAAAGCACGGTAAACAACACATTTTTCGTGTTTGAACATGGGTCAGGTGTGTTGCAGACATGGCCGCAGCAGTGAGAGCGAACGCAGCCAGCATTAAGCTCACGGCTTTGGGAAGCTACGTAGTCCGGACGAGGAGTGCTGTAATATCGACAATGTTGGAGCCGCAAGCCACTTTCTGACCCGGGAAAAAAAAACGGTCGCAGCTCACCAGCCAGCCCACCTGTTCAGCATTGTACAATTATTTTTGGTTCATTGAAACAGGTACAAAATAGTCTTTGGCAGGCCACCACAGTCTTTAATCAATGTGTTTATGAGTCACATGTCCCACCTGCAGGCGCCATCTCACTCACTCTTCCTCTCCTTGCAGTTCTCGGCCAAACATTACTGCTGTAAACGCCGACTGTAAATAGCAAGATTGTCTACTAGTACCAAGTACATGGTAAATAGACTTGCATTTGTATAGTTTTTCTAGTTGTTGGACCACTCGGTGCGCTTTACACTACTTGTCGTCATTTACCCATTCATAGGTTGATGGCAGGGGTTACCATGCAAGGTGCATCAGAACTAAACTAATTCACACCCACAGCCTTCAGGAGCAATTTGGGGTTACGTGTCTTGCCCATGGACTGGAAGAGCTGGGGATCAAACCGCCGATCTTTCTGTAGGGAGAAAACCCACTCTACCTCTCAGCCCAGCCGCGATGTAGAGTAACAATGCATTCACCACGAACATCACAAAGCTGTGTCGCACCGGTACTGCTGCAATGATTTCTTTCATCGCACAGACCGATTTTTCCATAACACATGCCACATTTTTGTCAGTCAAACTAGCAAAGACAGTTGCGCTGTGCTTTGTGCCAGGTGTAAGATAGAGCCCTCAGTCTCTTAGACCGGCTCTTTTCCACACTGTCCTTTTAACTGTTGAGTCTGCAGATTGCCCCCAGATTTCTTTTTGTGTGTTCTGACCACTTCATGAGCTGGTTTGATAAGTCCCATTTATATACGGATAAAATAGGACGGTCTGAGATGAAACCATAATCCTGAATGTATGACTCTGCTGTGTGTGCATCCTGAAATATTCCTGCATCCAACAGTCTGATATGGACATGCAGCATAGTGTAAAGCTCATCCCTGGCCTCTTGTTGGCTCAATGAACCTGTATTAAGCCCATGTAATGTGCATTATGTACTGATGTACTCATTCAACTCAGCAATCTCATTTGATGGCAAGGAGGTAAAAACTGCTGCTCCTGCCTAAGCCTTTCTCTCTGTGATGGATGTTATGTACAGGCCAGAAAACACGAGGTCAGACTGACCTGGACAAACAAAATCTAATAGCAGTAAACCTGAACCTGGCTGAAGCACCAACTCTAGATGGTTAGCTCCTGGTTTGCTACTTGTAACATGCTTCACGTTGGAACCACAGAGGAAAGTTTACAGAGCCTCAACACAACTAGAACATGTCATTGCGTCAGACTCGCTGTCTGTTTCACTAGGTTCTGATGAGTGTTTCAAGGTCATTTTAATCCACAGTGCTGTTGTTGGATTCAAGGACCTCTTAGACTGTGGGGAAACCGCATGTGATCCAGCCTCTGCTATTAAGTCAGCCGGTTTCAATTATAAACAAAAGTATTTAATACTTCTGAAGCTAATACAATTACATAGTGAAGTACATTATTTACAGTTACATAAAATATGACCCGCGCCTCACCCCGAAAGCGTTACCACCCACACGGTAGAACAGGAGCAAGAGACGGAATCTTTCTCTGGCTCCCTCTTCAGTTTGAAATCCCCTCCCATATTGTCCATCTTAGTTCCTATTGGCTAACTCCAGCTGGCTCCTCCTTCTCGCTCAGGTGATGCTCCTTCTGCGTCCGCCTGTCTATAAATCCCTGTCTTTCCCTAAGCCTTACTCCTTACAGTTTAATACATTCAATGACTGTTTATCATAGAAGTGTTAAGCCATAAAAGACATTCTATATAAAGATAAGGATTTGCAACTTTTTGGCAAAAACCTCACACGTTTTACAAGCATAAATGGGACTTCCAAGTACTTGCTATCATATTATTCCCCACCTGTAAGAGGTGCTACTAATTCTACTAATAAACATTTCTAACTATCGATTCTAAAACACTCCTATAATTATGACTAATTATGAATTCTTAAACACTTATTATGATTTCTTAATTTTGAATCATTAAACACTTCTATTGTAATTTCTTGAAGTACAGTTCTAAACCTAAATGTCCTGCACTGTCTGCACCGTCTGCATCGCAGTTTAGACGTATTGTATAGAGTTTAATGTTGATGACATTCTCAAAGCACGAGAAACGAGACCTGGTATGTGTTTCAAGACGTGTCTTTGCCGATATTGCCGCACTGAGGACAGTCTGCCCCTGTTATAGAGAGGGCACAGTGAGCACTAAGCGGCGAGTTCCGGGCGAGGGGTTCTGTGAAGGGCCACCTTCACCCTAGGCCAGAGGTCTTCAACAGGTGGTCTGCGACCCCGAGGGGATCCACGGAGATACTGCAGGGGTCTCGTGAAATTTTGGGTTTATTTTTTTATTTTTCCCCAAACATGAATCTGCCCATTATTTTAATAGTTCAGTATTGTATGCAAGATAACAGGTATGTTTATGCATGGCAGTTGCACTAATAGGCCATCACTCATTTTCGTTTCCACATTTATATTTAAAATAAAAACATCAATTTGGGACTACAGATGAAAAATAGCCTTTTGGCTAACTCTTGCACATTTACAGAAATGTTTTTATTAATGTGCACTGTCCCTTATCACATAAACCAATGAATAAAAAAAGAATAGCTTGTATGCATGATTGTCATGCGACAAACGATGTTGATATTGGCATTGGTATCAGCTGACAAGGTATGTTTATAAAAGGCAGTGGCACGGCCACCCTACTCACTGTACCTTGCACATGTTTAAAATAAAAACATGAATATATGAACCTGTGTATTATTTGAATAGCTTAGTGTTGAATGCACAATAAAGATGTATGTTTATACATGGCACGAGGCCCAGTTTAATATAAAACACAATTTTATACAATATATATATAGTCGGGGGTCCCTGCTCCATCTCTCTATCAGTTTGGGGGTCCTTGGCCTGAAAAACGTTGAAGACCCCTGCCCTAGGTGTTCTGAGCTGACCTAGAGTGCCACCATGGAGGGAAAGCACTCAGCGAGGGCTGGTCAGCGCCACACATCGAGAGGCTATCCCCGACCCGCTGAATGGGGTGAAAGCACACCACTTTTAAGGAAAGAGGTGCGCTAATTTATGACACAGGCAAAACAAGAGCGTCATTGCAAAATGGAATGTGGCACAATAATCATTTTATGTCAAATATCTTGTTTTCATAATCTTTGAAAACCAAAATCTTAATTGAAATTGGATTAACTGCACAGCCCTATCTCCCACTCAACATGCCTCGCTGTGATTTAGAGCGTCCTGTAAGGCTTGAGTCAGTTTTTTCACACCTGGACACGTTTCTATAAAATGGTGTGTTTTTCACGCACCAATTTCTCATCAGATTTACATCAGTAATCTAAATCTTTCAGATATTAGTTTACCTTTGACTCACACGATACAGGTTGGTATTGGCAGCCATCATTTCTACAAACTGTGATGGACATCCTATGTCAGTATGAGGTGGTCTGGCACTTCTGCCACAGCACTAGTGTGGATGTACATGTAAGGAAACCAAACGGCAGCAGTTGATATTCCACTTGTTTGTTTTGTTCTAGGAGCTCCATCGGCACATAGAGGAGGGTCTGGGCAAGAACGTGTCAGAGAGATGCTCCACCTCCGTCACCAGTGCCCTGCAGGCCACACAGACTGACATGATCGGTAGGACTCCTCATGTTTACACCTGAGACAGCCGTCCACAAACATCCCCCTGTCTACAGTGCACATTTATGAGCATAATGCATGTAACATTGTTTACTATGACTGTAGTATCCTCAAGTGGAAACATGTATGTAGCCACACACTATGTGTCACTGACATCTGTGCTACGTTATAACTGAATATATTCTCTTGATTCTTTGCTGTGTGTGTGCAGAGGGTCTGAAGCCTCTGCTGCCCAACCCGGTTAGAGAGCAGGTGGACAAGCTGGTTCCTCGTCAGTGTTTCAGCCTCAGTTATGACCTCGCCTGTGACAAGCTTTGCAGTGACTTTCAGGAGGATATCAGCTTCCACTTCTCTCTGGGCTGGACCATGCTGGTGAACCGCTTCCTTGGGCCCAAGAACACCAGGCGGGCCCTAATGGGCTACAGCGACCAGGTAACACATGCAGGAACCAGATCAGTGAGACAGCACCTGGATGTTCTTGTTGAACTGAGTCAGTGGAGCTTCTAGAGAGGAGATTTACAGTATTCTTACAGGTTATTTAGCAGATGGCCTTCATAATGGGTTCTAAATCACCTTGTGCAAGAGCATTTTTGTATTCCTCTCCTAAACCTCTGACTATTTTCCATGAGGTTTGCTTGTTCGGTTGGTTGAATACCACTTGTTCATTAGTATTAACTCATTTTGCCTAATTGCTCATACGATATACACACATGCATGAGCATGTGATATACACACATATTTACCCACTTAATTGCAGAAAATCTCTCTTTAGGTGGAATTAAATGATTTGTATGCCTTCTGTTGTCATGATAGCCCACTGGCAGATGCAGACAAAAAATACAATTATTTTCAAAAGTGTACACATTCACTGGGAAACTTAGGTGACATGTTGGGATTAACTGATTTTGCCATAACCACAGTTATGTAACATCTCAGTTTCATAACCGTAAGAACTACAGAAGTTACGATATCTATGGGGTCCTGCATTGTTGCTCTGTTAATACAAATCTCAGGAGGTTTGAACTCGGCTGTGACTCGTTCACAATGTGTTACCGTTTACTTTGGGGATCTTGCAGAGATATCATATCACCGGCTGAGGAGGACTGTCCTCTCTTTCTCTGTGTAGCCATTGTGTTGGAAGTAGCCAAATGTTCCACTATAAGAGCTAACTGGATATAGTTGATGATGATAATAAATCGGCTACTTTAGTTCATTAGCTGTATTAGAAATATTTCATATTTCATAATTGTGATATGATTTTTTCATATTGTGACATCCCATGTAAACATGCAATATTTATTTATATGTAACATGTTGAGACATGACTGAGCAATCCATGCTCCTCTGCCAGGCTTTGTTGGATGATGCTGTAATAGGCATGTAATAGGCATGTTGACTAACCTGTAACATGGTTACTCTGGATTTCACCTCATATCTTCACTTCTCATAGAAACATTGTAGCATTGTGCTGGATCAGGACTGTCGGTAGCATTTAGAGCCAGTCTCTGCTCAGCTCTGTTCTCGCTGCAGGTCCCTCGACCAATGGCCCTGACTCCAGTCAGCACCAGCATGCCTCCATTCCCACAAAGCTCCGTGACCCAGGAGGAGCTGATGGTCTCCATGGTGACTGGTCTCGCCTCCTTTACCTCCCGTACTTCCATGGGTGTCCTTGTGGTTGGTGGCGTGGTAAGGACACACACACACACACACACACAC